AACCAAATGAAATGTACTGTACATCATTTGTTAACACTGGCTCAGAGCCACCTAGTGGCAGACTAGCTAACTGCACCTGCCTACAAGTGGTGCTCCAGGTGAGCAGAGATAAAGAGGGCTAAAAAGCTGTGAGAGATCCTTCTAACAGTAGTGTTTGGTTGTATTTATATGGAAAGTATAGGAAAACATGTGGTAAGTGCACACCCACATTCATAATGTTGCTGAATACCTGTCCTTGGGTCAAGCAACCTACTTTAGCTTTTGTAGAAAATATGATGCTTGCGGGGGTTTACAAGGATTCCTGAACTGCTCTATGCGGCAGGCAGGTCCAGTGATTCATGGTAAAGGGGATGAGGCTCCAATATGGAACCAAAGCATGGTCAGCTGGGGCACCCATTAAAGTGATCCTAAAGACTTAATTATTTTTTTAATCTAAAAATAACAAACATGTCTATACTTACCTGCTCTGTGTAGTGGTTTTTCACAGAGCAGCCTGGATCCTCCTCTTCTCAGGTACCCTGCAGGCTCTCCTGGCCCCTCCCGTTGGGTACCCCCACAGTGAGCAACTTGCTATGGAGGCACCCGCTGCTCCACATGGAGCTGTGGCTCTGCCCTGCCCCCTCTCTCTTCTCATTGACTCACTGGCTGTGACTGACAATGGCTCCCACTGCTGTGTCAGCCAATCAGGAGAGAGAGTCCCGGGATAGCAGAGACTCCAGTGCACACCCCTGGATTGAGACAGGGCTTAGGTGAGTATTAGAGGGGCTGGGGGGGGATGCTGCAAACCAGGGGCGGACTGACCATTTGAGCACTTGGACACTGCCTGAGGGCCCGGGGTCAGTAGGGGGCCCCATGAAATGCCCCTGGTACCTTTTATAGGCTTTTTTTTGAGTGTGGGCAAGGACACAGGGGCCCCATGATCCCCTATTGCCTGGGGGCCCCATGAGTTGTCAGTCCTCCCCTGCTGCACACAGAAGGTTTTTTTACCTGCATGCATTCTGTGCAATCCTTCAGCCTTTACAACCTTTTTAAATAAAAAATTGCTTCCAAGTGAATTCTCCAGGTAGGTCAATATTTATTGATCATAAGAACAGGTTAAAACACACCATCAAGGTGTTTTGTGGCTCTTTTAATAAGCCTTGCAGTCCTTTTTTCGGCTTGGTGTTCTATGAGTCTGTAGGACTGCGGTAGGGATATTAGAGTCTGTAGGACTGCGGTGGGGACATTAGAGTCTGTAGGACTGCGGTGGGGACATTAGAGTCTGTAGCATTGCGGTGGGGACATTAGAGTCTGTAGGACTGCAGTGGGGACATTAGAGTCTGTAGCACTGCGGTGGGGACATTAGAGTCTGTAGGGCTGCGGTGGGGACATTAGAGTCTGTAGGATTGCGGTAGGGACATTAGAGTCTGTAGGACTGCGGTAGGGACATTAGAGTCTGTAGGACTGCGGTAGGGACATTACAGTCTGTAGGACTGTGGTAGCGACATTAGAGTCTGTAGGGCTGTGGTAGGGACATTAGAGTCTGTAGGGCTGCGGTAGGGACATTAGAGTCTGTAGGACTGCGGTGGGGACATTAGAGTCTGTAGGATTGCGGTAGGGACATTAGAGTCTGTAGGACTGCGGTGGGGACATTAGAGTCTGTAGGACTGCGGTGGGGACATTAGAGTCTGTAGGATTGCGGTAGGGATATTAGAGTCTGTAGGACTGCGGTGGGGACATTAGAGTCTGTAGGACTGCGGTAGGGACATTAGTCTGTAGGACTGCGGTAGGGACATTAGAGTCTGTAGGACTGCGGTAGGGACATTAGAGTCTGTAGGACTGCGGTAGGGACATTAGTCTGTAGGACTGCGGTAGGGACATTAGAGTCTGTAGGACTGCGGTAGGAACATTAGAGTCTGTAGGACTGCGGTGGGGACATTAGAGTCTGTAGGACTGCGGTAGGGACATTAGAATCTGTAGGACTGCGTTAGGGACATTAGAGTCTGTAGGACTGCGGTAGGGACATTAGAGTCTGTAGGACTGCGGTAGGAACATTAGAGTCTGTAGGACTGCGGTGGGGACATTAGAGTCTGTAGGACTGCGGTAGGTAGGACTGCGGTAGGGACATTAGAATCTGTAGGACTGCGTTAGGGACATTAGAGTCTGTAGGACTGCGGTAGGGACATTAGAATCTGTAGGACTGCGGTAGGGACATTAGAGTCTGTAGGACTGCGGTAGGGACATTAGAGTCTGTAGGACTGCGGTAGGGACATTAGAGTCTGTAGGACTGCGGTAGGTAGGACTGCGGTAGGGACATTAGAATCTGTAGGACTTCGGTAGGGACATTAGAGTCTGTAGGACTGTGGTAGGGACATTAGAATCTGTAGGACTGCGGTAGGGACATTAGAATCTGTAGGACTGCGGTAGGGACATTAGAGTCTGTAGGACTGCAGTAGGGACATTAGAGTCTGTAGGACTGCGGTAGGGACGATAGACCCCAGGCTTCACCATGGTATATGAACAACTCATGGGGCCCCCGGGCAATAGGGGATCATGGGGCCCCTGCGTCCTTGCCCAAACTCAAAAAACCTATGAAAAAGGTACCAGGGGCATGTCATGGGGCCTCCTACTGACCCCGAGCCCTCGGACAGTGCCCGAGTTTCCAAATGGTCAGTCCACCCCTGGTTTATAACAGCTCTGCAGCCCATAAAGCAAGCAGAGTGAGCATTTTATATTTCATGCAGCGGAAAGGACTGAATTTAACGCACAAACACAACATGAACTCCAAGTTAAATTATTTATAAACCTTCAGCAAGAATGAGCGTGAGCGGGAGTGTTCCTAGACACATCAAGCCATTAACATTTCTCAGCTAGTGACGTCTCCCGGCAGCTCTATGAAAGGCGTGACGCGGTCTGGGCACAGTGACAAGCAGTCTTCCGAAGTACGGGGCGGATAGGATGTCAGCCCTTGATGAAGCAGAATGTGCTTGTGTGCATCACCATGTGTGTTTATCCTGGAAGAGTCCCAGAACCTGTTACAGCACACGATCATCCCTTATCATAGGATGTAGACGCTTCCAGTGTGTAGCAGATTCTCTATCTCTCCTAAGAAGCTGCACGATACGCCTTTTACAGCACTGCTGGACGGATAAGGGCTCCATGTACACGGGACGTTTGGAAAACACTTCTGAACGATGGAAACTGACTGCTGGAAAATGTAGTTTAAAAAGTCTGTTTAGATGCGGTTGCATATAGCATTTATGTGCGTTTGCGTTTAGAACCGTTTTTTGAAGATAACATCAGGAGACCTTCCAAAATGCCCAGAATGCACTGAATAACAGTAAAAAAAATTCTATTTCAGATATTTTGAGAGAAATAGAGAGAGCAGAAGCAGAGAGAGCAGTATGTGTTGAGATGACCTGTCTTTTCTGGTTGTATTCACTATGGATCCCATCATGAGTATAATGCAGCACGTTCTACCATTTTTTTTCCTTCACGCAAAACCTGGAACTGACTGCGCTGGTGTACCGGGTCCATTTGAATACATGGAAAACGCTTGGCATGCATTTCTGATGCAGGCTCTGCACAGCATCTGGATATGGAACAGTTAAAAAATGCTTCTAAACGCAAACGCTTATAAATGCGGTCAGCCGCATTTACAAGCGTTTGGCGTTTGAAACGATGATAAAATCTACTCCGGAACGCAAGTTTGGTGCATTCAAAAAACTACTAAACTCAACTGCCTGTAAACGACTGTAAACGACTATGTGTACACGGACATATAGGAAAACATTTGGGAGAGTTCAGGGGCTGCTGAAAAAAACGCAGAAAAGCTCGTAAACGTGCGTTTATCAGCTGCAGTGTACATGAGCCCTAAAAGATGAAACAGCTCTTTATTATACAGAAGGCAATCTTTTATCACAGAACTGTGCATGTAGATGATTCCAGCACACACCAAACAACCCACAAGTCATAACGTAGCTCAAGAAGTGTTGTAGAGTGGTGCCCCCCCCCCCCCCCCCCCAAAAAAAATAAATAAATAAAAGATGTCCAGCTAAATGTTTTTTCTTACTTTTGGGGGTGGGGAAGCTTTAGAATCCCAAACATTTTTTTACTGATATCTTGGGCTTCCCCTCACTTCCTGTTCTGTTGACAACGTTTTACCAGACATGAAGTGAGGGGAACTTCGCAACATAGACAGAAATATGAAAAAAAGCTTTCCTGTAGTAGAGTAGATTAAAACAGTATAAAAAAGGGTGAAATTGGCACAGGTATTTACTAGGTCCAGAAAAGTTTCTTTAAAGTGTTACTAAAACCGCGGACCCTGCGTTCCCTATATCTGGTCTCCCACAGTACACAGATCTTGGAAGTGCAATTAGTTTTAGTAAATATAAATGGCTAAACACCTTTTTTCATCAGCAGTTAGAGCAGTCTTTTGACTTCTATCAGTGTCTAGCAGAGCACTGGTTAAAGCTTGTAGGATGAGTTTTCTTTCTGCTCTAGGAGGATGCAAAACCTCTGACTTCTGTCTGGACAGTGCTGATTGGCCCTGTGCTGATCACATGCACTCTCCCATTAAAAAAAAAAACCTCTCTAGCAATACACACTAAACTGAGCATGTGTAGCATGGCTACGATTCAGTCTGTCTTATCAGGAGATAAGATGTGGATACTTGAACAAGAGGAGGAGCAGAGAAGTCAGGATCAAATGGCTTTTTACACAATGCAGAGGATTAACCCCTTAGGTTCCACAGTGAGTATAACAAGCATGTTTTACTGTATATACAGACTGATTTCACTGTTGTGGGTTTAGTAACACTTTAATTTAAAGTGTTACTAAACCCAAGACCCTGCATTCACTATATCTGATCTCCCCTGACCCTGCATTCACTATATCTGGTCTCCCCGGACCCTGCATTCACTATATCTGATCTCCCCTGACCCTGCATTCACTATATCTGATCTCCCCTGACCCTGCATTCACTATATCTGGTCTCCCTGGACCCTGCATTCACTATATCTGGTCTCCTGGACCCTGCATTCACTATATCTGGTCTCCCGGACCCTGCATTCACTATATCTGGTCTCCCTGGACCCTGCATTCACTATATCTGGTCTCCCGGACCCTGCATTCACTATATCTGGTCTCCCTGGACCCTGCATTCACTATATCTGGTCTCTCCGGACCCTGCATTCACTATATCTGGTCTCCCGGACCCTGCATTCCCTATATATGGTCTCCCACAGTACACAGATCATGGAAGTGCATTTATTTTAGTAAATATAAACTGCTAAATACAGCAGTTTTGTGACTTTTATCAGTGTCCAGCCAAGCACAAGTTAAAGCTTGCAGGAGGAGTTTTCATTCTGCTGTAGGAGGATGCAAGATCCCTGACCTCTGTCTGGACAGTGCTGTTTGGCCCTGTGCTGATCATATGCACTCTTCCAAGAAAAAAAAAAAAAACCTCTCTAGCAATACACACCAAACTGAGCATGTGCAGAGTCACTCCACACCATATCTCTTATCAGGAGATAAAAGGGGGGCACTGGAAGAAGGGGAGGACCAGAGAAGTCAGGATCAAACAGCGTTTTTTTTACACATTGCAGAGGATTAACCCCTTAGGTTCCACAGTGAATATAACAAGCATGCTTTACTGCATATACAGACTGATTTTACTGTTGTGGCTTAGTAACACTTTAACAATTGGTCACAAAATATATTCATTGTGTTTCAGGGCCTCAGGTCACAGAATATATACCCAAAGCGTTTCAGGGCCTTACAGCTTCCACTTCATCAAGTGCTGGTAATTATTGAGGTATACTGACCAGCAATCAAATAGAACAAGGATTTGGATGATTCTGGTCCGATTGGTGCTTTAGAATCATATTCTGTTACCTATTATCACCATGGATAAAGTTTTACTGGACCTAGTAAAAACATGGGGTGCTTTTCATCACACCGGCAACCTTTGGAGATACCCCTGTTAATAGAGAACTGCCTTCAATCGATAAATGTTGTCATTTTTCACCAGCTAATGGGTTCAGTGCTCCAAATGTACTCCTTTAGTAGAGTAACCCTAGGTTCACATCTCTGTGCGGGCGGTGCCGCTGTGGAGCCGCACCACCCGCACAGAGAATTGCGGACCCACGGGCAGGTGCCATTACTTCTACTGGAAGACGCAACCGTACTGGGAACTGAGGTTCCTATGCGGGCTGTGTTTTCTAAAGAAGTGCAGGGACTTCTTTCCCTGCGTGTCACCGGCACGGGAGTACATTCAAATGAATGGGCTCTCGTGACCCAGCAAAACACGGCTGCATGGCCGGATAGATGTGAACCGGGGGTAAGAGAGGTTAGAACCCATCAGATTTTTGTTTGCTTGAGTCCCTTTTGCAGATTTTTCCCAAACTTCGTTTGCTAAACCATGTAGGATGTATCGCTTCCTGTTTCCATTTTAATAATCATTTATTATTAAAGTGATTCTAAAGATTAGGATATTAAAAATAAACATAAATAAAAAATAACAAACATGTCATACTTAATCTGCTCTGTGTAATGGTTTTGCACAGAGCAGCCTCGATTCTCCTCTCCTTGAGTCCCCCACCGGTGCTTCTGGAACTCTACCCCCAGCCTAATGCCCCATCACAGCCTGCTTGCCATAGGGGCACTCGTGCGTGCTTGTTCCCGAGCCGGCTATCTATGTCCATTAGACACAAAAAGCTTGGCATAGCACAGCTTGGCCCCGCTCCCTTCTCACTGGTTGTGATTGACAGCAGTGAGAACAAATGGCTCTCACTGCTGTGTCTGAGCCAATGAGGAGGGAGAGAGTAGGGAGAACACATCGCTGGATTGAGATTGGGCTCAGGTAAGTATTGGGGGGCTGAGGGCGAGCTGTTTGCAGAAGGTTTTTTATCTTCATGCATAGAATGTATTAAAGTATAAAAACCTTCTGCCTTTAGAGCCACTTTAAGATATTGGAGTTCAACCAATATCTTTCCCAATCGGCTATCATGGAAGGTGGGTATCTCAGTGAGGAAAAGAAAATATTTTTAACAAACATTCCATATGAAGGAATAAATACATTCTGTATCAACTGCTCTTTCCCTATCTGGATACTGATGGCACTGCACCCTCTAGTGGATCATCTGTACATAAAAAATATTATCATGAAAAATGTGGCACAAATAGTAAAAATCTAAAATTCCAATAAAAATGCTAAAAAGAGTCATTTTCAATAATAATTCAAAATTAATATTTTCTAAAAGAAATTCCTAATGTTTTGCTTCAAGTTTAATATTACCAAAGAAAAAGATTACCAAGTAAGCCAAGGAACTGCCACTTCGGGGACGTTGTGAAGATATATCACTGACACGCCCCCCAAAAATGACATTTTCACATATAATAAATTCCCAGCACGCACCTAAAAATAGATCTTATATAATTGCAAGAAGCCCGCTCAGTCCTGCCTGCATGGTTATGTAAGAAGTCAGCCTCTATAGCACTCTATTATCACCAAATAATTAGCTAAAATATTGTAGGACTGTTTGATTTCCAGCTAAGAGTCTGTGAAGTGGAAAATTACATTCATTCCACGGTGTCTCGCTAGGGACAAAATTTATTCAATAACTCTGCCAAATCACGAGCAGCACTGTACAGTGCCACTAAATCATCTTCCTATGGATCATTTTACTGATTTTAGAGGAAATATTCAGATGCTTGGATGCAATAATGCAATAAGATAACAATCTTTTCTGGTTTTGCAAACTGGGAATAATCTACAGAATAGGAACCTTGTACAGATGCCAACTCTTCTGGATGTGCAGGGACAGTCCCGTTTCTTGGACTTGTCTCAATGGTGCAGTTGTCTCCTGCGATCAAAGGCTTGCCCTTACTTGGGTTATTCAGCATTCACAGGGTAATAACAGAGTATTGCAGCTGTGAGCGTACTTAGGGGCATGATCACAGAAGTTGGCATGGTCTGGGTGTGACCTCCCAGAAAATGGGCCTGTCAAGCATAGGCTTTGGACAGGGGTAACAGTGTGCCAGGAATTGGGACTAATGTTTGGTCATACACTGATAGTTATACATTGGCAGAAATTTTATTGACTGGGAATAACCAAAAACGGCCACACAGCTTACAGTGTCTGTACAAACTCCTTTAGATTTACCAGCAACTAAATAATGTGAAAGCCAAACCTAAACCAACCTTTAGATATGATAGATATATAAATATATATATATATATAGACACAGGGTGATTGAAAAGTAACTCCCTATTTTAAATTAATTATATATTTTTTATATGAAGTTACTTTTTTCTCAATTCTTTAATGTATGTTCCTTAATCTATGACAATTGAATCTGCGATATCATGAATGCCGAAAGGTATCTCACTATGCTGCAAGATGAAATCTGGCCAGTTGTCAATACCTGGGAGAATATTGAAGACTTGATTTTTATGCAAGATGGTGCTCTTCCACATTTTGCTATTATTGTTGTATGCAGGCTCCACCTCCGCAACATCTCCAGGATACGTACATTCCTCACCCCAGACACTACCAAACTACTCGTGCACTCCCTCGTCATCTCACGCCTGGACTACTGCAACTCCCTCCTCACCGGCCTACCCAAACGAACGCTAACCCCACTCCAGTCGATCATGAACTCGGTGGCGAGACTCATCCACCTCACTAACCGCTCCACATCTGCCTCCCCCTCTGCCAATCACTTCACTGGCTCCCGATTGGCCAACACATCAAATTCAAACTACTAACCCTGACCTACAAAGCCATCCACAATGCTGCCCCAACCTACTTAACCGACCTGATACCCAAATACTACCCTACCCGTGCCCTTCGCTCCTCTCAGGACCTCCTACTCTCTAGCTCCCTGATCTCCTCCTCCCACGCCCGACTGCAAGACTTCTCCAGGACCTCCCCCATCCTCTGGAATTCCCTACCCCAATCCATCAGACTGTCACCCACCCTCACCACCTTCAGGCGCACCCTGAAGACCCACCTCTTCAGGGAGGCCTACCCCTCCCTCACCTAACATCTGACCTCCACTCCTCCCACCACCTCATCCCCCACAGCCACTTCCTCCTGTACCACTTTCCCCTCCCTCCTAGATTGTAAGCTCGAAAGAGCAGGGCCCTCGAACCCCTCGTGTATTTTACTGTCTCTGTCTTGTCTCATGTCTTGTCCCCCTGCCTTTGTACAGCGCTGAGCAAACCCTTTGGCGCTATATAAATACTGTGTAATAATAATAATAATTGTTCGTGAATGGCTGAATGAACATTTTCCTGGGAGATGGTTGGGTCGACGTGGTCCACATGAGTGGCCGGCCAGAAGCCCTGATTTAACACCCTGCGACTTTTTTCTTTGGGGTTGGTTGAAGGAAGAAGTTTACTCTACGAAACCAAAGACTTTAGAAGAACTTGAAGGGCGACTAGGAGAAGTTATTTCTGCCATCCCACAAGAGTTCCTGCGAAAATCAGTTGATGCGATTCCCGAGTAGCTTCAGAAGCTGCAGGCGAATGCTGGTGCACATATCGAATTTTAAATTAAATCTCCATGTTATGTGTGTTCTTCTCATATTCATTTTTTGTAAAAATAATGATTAAAAAATAAATTTTCAATCACCCTGTATATAAATACTGTATAGCCCTAATTGTTTGGGGGTTTTTTTTTTTTTAGTTCTACAAATTAAAGAAGGGTTGTTTTTAAATTTTTTGCCATCTGTGCCCTATTGGGGAGATTTATGTTCATTTCCTCTCCTAGTGACACAACAGAAAGAAAGAGGAAATCCTCTCAAAAGCTTTAGAGCAAAGTGACAATGGCTGGGTAAAGCTGTCCCTCTGACCCACTATACTTACCTCTCCAATCATCCTCCTCCACTCCTAGCCCTGTTGTAGCCGCCACCAAAACAATTGCTGTCGGCTGGTGTAGGAGCCTAGAGAAATTGGTTAAGCACTACATCATTAGGGAAAGACATATATTTCAAACATGTTCAACTGCAGCAATGAGAAAATGTGAAGGAGCAGGATGGAAATAGTTTCTTAAATGAATGAAAGTTCAAATGTAAATGTGGTTTCCATTCAGGAAAAAAAACTGTACATATTGTAATAAAACCTGTTTAATATATATGAGATTCCATTCAAGTAGCAAGTCTGGGTGAAATGTTAAGGGCTTTCAAACAAAAGTAGTTGACTGAATGATGGCAAGAAAGAATATTAAGACAAACAATTTTACAGAGTTTCCATATGAATGTTCAAACTAAATCCTACTGCTATACGGCCAACTATAGATACTGTCACATTGGCTTGGAAATCCAGACAAGAAATGGTATAGGGGGAAGTATAGATCTTCTTGAGGGGGTCAGGAGGCCAATATACCATTTGAAGATGGTGCATCTTCACAAGGGTCCTTTGGGACTTAGGAGCCCAATAATACTAGATGTAGGTCAGATGGGTGGAACCCATTTCATACTCTTGTAGACCCAACACACCTTACTTCTATAATGTTAACAACTGATATGCATA